GTTTTATGTGCAATGTGCTTATGTAAACTCACCGATGTTAATTCAGGAACAGGGGAGGTTTCAACCACGACAAGGAGCAAAAGGAAGTGAAGAGACTTCATTCCGCTCGAGGAAGTAGAAGAAAGTATAAAACTTCGATTGCGTGCAGGATTAATGCAAATGCGATTGAGTGTCTAAGGCTATTTGTTGGCCTTTATAACCTTTTGTGCGTCTAAATTTAGTTTAGTTTCGTGCCCTAACCTGTAGTTGTCAAGAAACACAAACCGATTGCGATTGGATAAGCCAACAATGAAAATAAAGGAAAATATTCATCATCATCATATTTTATTTGCCTTATTTACACAATACAAAAAATTTATTAACAGCGGTTATAGCTAGAAGGCGAGGAAACACAGGAAGCCACTAGGCTTATGGGAAAGCCACCTCACTTACATTAATAAATAAAGTAAAGAAAAAGTGCTGCGAATGTGCGGCTAGGCCAATTCGAGGATTATTTAAGTAAAAACTCTTGCATTTTCGTCTTAAAACTAAGAAGGTTTGACGAACGAGTGACTGAAACAGGAAGAGAGTTCCAAATTTTAGGACCTTGGTAAAGAATTGTAAATTGCTTGAGATTTGTACGGTACGAATGCGTTCGATAATTACTGGCTGTTCTGGTACCATAGTTATGAATTTGGCTATTCCTTACAAAAAGATTGAGACGCAATGGAGGCAATAAGTTATTTCTATCCTAAATCATGAATTTGGCGATTTCAAACGTATTGACTTGGAAAATATCTAAAATTCCTAGTTTGGAAAATAAAGGAGCGGAATGGGCTCGATAGTCTGAGTTGGTGATAGCCCACACAACTCACTTTTGCAAGTAATAAATTATATTTAAGTTAGATAAGTATGTGGATGACCAGGCGCAGTTACAATAGACGATATAAGGATAAATTAAGGTGTAGTACAAAGTGAATTTGGTTGTAGAGGATAGGAAAAAGCGTGACCTGAATATAATACCTATTGATTTAGCGATTTGTTTACATACATAGCTAATATGGTGTTTCCGGGTGAGATGATCATCAATATAGCTTCCAAGGAATTAAGTTATGTTAGATTGTTGTAGGGGTTTACCTCCAAAGGAGAGAGAAATGCTGGAGTTAAGTATTATTATTACTGGAGTTAAATGCTATTATTACAAGAATCAGACCACTAAAGGGAATTCTTGATGAAAAAAAAAAAAA